TACAACATTCACTCCACCATAGAATGTGGCAACCGCAAATTAATTATTTACACTAATCGGCCACATGACTGAGGACGACCACTATAGAGGACAATGTACACACACTCATTGATGTTACCTTATACCCCTTGTAACAATGGCAGATCTATTAATGTTTAATGTTATATAAAATTACGTAAATCAGCCATGACTGAGGGAGGCCATGATTAAGGACGGAGGCAATATGCACTGTTGGGTAATGGTTACCAAAGGACTTTTGTAACCGATGGAATATTATTCTTTTAATGTGTAATTGTATATAATATCATATCGAAGCACCACTGTCATTGTCCAATTCACACTCGTATTTCGTGTAAATAAACAATGTGCGACTACTACGCGATGCGGCGGCTGAGGGGATTTCAGCATTGTAACAAAGTGAACAAGAATATAAACGGTAACATGCGAGGGGAACGGAAAGGTTCAACGAACGGAGAGTATGGCTAATTCATCAATGTCATGAAATGTTATAACAAAGATTGTAGTAACATGCAATTATCGCTTATTCAATAATTGTTTATCATGTGATCTTGTGTGACGTTGGCGCATGCGTACTATGCACTTTCTTTACCATGTGGGATGCTACGAACGTTGTCATTGTCAGACTACAACCTCCCATTACAAACAAAGCTTACTATACAACCTGATTATGCCAAAGTGCAAAACATATTAAGCTTACCATATCTATCAGCTGTATAGGCGTCATACGATGATACACCACTATCGGTGTACTTTCATTCATCACTGGACGGATAGGATATTCCGGGTAATTATCAAGTAAAAAGTGGGTCAGATTAATGCTATTTTTAGACGAAACCACTAAACCTGAAACAAATACACATACTCATAGTTAAGATGAATGACGATAAGAGGTTTGAAGAAGGCAACATAGCGTTTGCAACACCCGGCCCACCCATAAACTCGAACGCTCCTAGTGTCGGTTAATATTGTGACTACGTTTGCTTAACATGAGTCATCGAGTCATACTATTGATATAATATACTCAGGGTATATGCCCGGCAAATATATAATAATTATAAAATTAGAAAGGTCAATTATAATAAAAAAGTCATAGTGTGAGGTAAAGGTCACTAAAGACAGACATGACTGCATATATTGTATTTACCAGTCCATCATATCGTGTGTTGAAAGACGGTTTCATACAGTGCATTTTTATTTTTTTTACATTAGACTGAACAGTAACGTGGCGTGTCCAATAATATGACAGTCATAGACCACTAGTCGCCCCCCCCCCAAAAAAAAAATTGATAAATTTATTTGAACATCAAAATTTTTAAAATTTCATTGAGTTAAATGATCATCATCTGAATGGAAAAAAAACAACAACGATGCTATTTCAAGCACTGTCGCACGGGTCAATGTACTTGTGCCATTACGTGACACCACGGAGGGCTTTATACAATGACACGTATGCGCCATAACACACTCAAGTTATTACTCGACTGGAACATTCTTAATAATCATAAGTTATGTTTACTTTCTGTTTCAATTTTAATGGAATTTGAAATATTAATAACAACTAAATAATGCTTACATCATGTGTGGAAAATACAATGAATATTAATAGTGCATGACATATAAGTGAAGTATTTGATATATAGTACATGATATTTGTTAATCGTAGTCCTATGTAACTATTCAAAAAAGCTGGTCGTTATCGATTGCATATAATTGTTGTTCATGTGCTCGCTGGAGTTTGACTGATTCAGTAATTAATATGAATATTTAGTTGTCTGGTAACAACGTTTCCAATATTGTGTACATTGTTACGTTGTATAATTATCATTTTTTGTAATATTTATAGACGGTTCTAGAGAGGTTGCTACGAATCCCGATTCATGTTGGGAACGATTGTGACTACAAAGTTTATGGACCTGAAACCGTTACTTGAAATACGGGACAGCCATCTAGTTCAACACGTATACTAAGTGACGTCCTGTTGTGTGGGACTGGATGAAGCTTGTGGGATTGAGACGCAATGGTGGGTATACAGTTGAAGCAATCCAGGAATCCAAATTCCGCCATTTCTGAGTAGTATTCTTCTGCAATTGTAATTCTCCGCTTTAGAGCGAATGAACATTAATAACATAACAAATTTCCATATTTCCAATTTAACAAATGTGTCAATTATATTATTAATGTAAATAGTGCTAGAAAACATCTAAATACAATGACATAAACTAATGTTCTTCACTTTACAAAATGTTGTTGTCTGTGTTAATTACGTATTGAATGAACGTGTTTATGGAATTGTTTGAGACAGTCGCCATTTTTTTTCTTTCCCATTTCTTACTATTGTCGTCTTGTTACGAAGCACGCAGTAATGTTTAAACTACACGACTGTTTGCCAAATCATTTGCTACTTTATTTCCTTTAACTCAATACTTCATAGCACAAAACCATAGATATATAGCTCGTGATCGGCGTCCTGCCTATATGTTATTTGTTGCATTCTATCTTATACGTAAACGTTACGGTGTACAAGTTACGTTAACCGAATTGGAGAACTAATGGTTCCTACGCATGCGTTACTGCATTACAAAAGCGTGAGTTATTCTCCTTCTTAGATTGTATATGTGTTCTATGCATGTGCCAAACCGGCAAAATGTATTGACGTAATTAGAAGTTTCTAAAAAGCGCCAACTGATGTGGGCATATGTTATTATGCTTTGTCCTCAACTATAGATAGTTTAAAGAGAAAAAACAATCATCTCCTCTACATGAGCTGTGCAATTAAATATTCCTATTTTACGACTGTACAACTGTTCTCATGAGCACGCAATGGTATAGATGTGCTATAAATCAACCTCGGCAGTGATCGTGTACTGTACATAATGCAGATGTTGCTGGATTTGATGATCGACACGTTCCACGGTTTTTACATGGTACCTAAAGCCTAACTAAACATCTAGCTCTCACGCGGACACTGTACCGCAACCCAATGTGTAAACAAACTCGTCCTCGACGTGACATTCTTACTTACCAATGACCGTGGCTATCACGCCCAGTCTTATAAAACCCACATTTGTTCCAGTTATGTACATTATCTTCCCTCTAATGTCACTGTGTTATAGAATCATACACCCACGTAGCGTAGCGGCGGTTGGTTAATAATAACAAAACACATTAACTGTACGTATTATCAATGGCACTCAAAGCTGTCTTGAAACAGACCCCCTAAGTCAGTGTTCCAAACCCTACGTCACGTTGACTTACAGATAACTTCGACGAAGCAATGAAGGTAGACATCAAGCAGCGGCTACGTGCGAGTAAATATAAATTGTATAAAATTGACATACCTATTCAACAAAATATTTATTGAGAATGTTCCAGCATATATTTGGCATAATTAATAGCATTGCATTGGCGTGTGACGACATGATTCGTGATATTAATACTCTTAAAACATTTTTTAATTATATAAAATTGACCAAACAATTTGACTAACTGCGACATGTGCATTTGTAATATTTGCTAACACCATAGTTTAATGAAATATCTACGATTGAATTACTCGGAGTATATTTAGGAAATAAATCGTTTATTACAATGTTGTGTCGATTTCGATACCTCGGTATCTTTGTTAACAGTTAACTATAAGAAAAGACCTCCATGTTATTTCTACCTTACATTTTTTTCGAAAGGTTTGATTTATTCTTTTTACGAATTGATGACATTGACCTGAATACTAAGGTCGTTTAACTTGAGTGAACCAAATGTATTTATGTTAGTGACATATCGTGAGTGGCACGCTTTAAAGAGAGTTCGATGGTAGAGCCCCGATAGATCAGTAAACAAGATGTAGATGACCTAATCGATCAACACGAAGAAACGCAATGGGAAGTAGTGTATACAAATATAAATACGCGGGTAGTATGCTGTCAACTCCGGCATAGATATGTAAATTATTTGAATGGCAAACACCTTGTGTTTTATGAAAACAATACAGTAGATGACCAAATGACTTGGTGCCATCAATTAGTATTTCCCAGGTTTTCTTAGTAAATAAATATAATGAAGTACATTTATGGTTTCAATGGAGATAAATCCCAATCTGGTACTATATTACGCTATGTTACGATGTTCCTGCGTTATAATAATGCTTTTTTCTACTTATGAAGGAATAAATTAATTCACAAAATACCGAAATATTAAAAAAATGTGTGATAAATAATACGAAACAATGTATAGTATTGTGCAATCATTTGACTTTGAAGGAGCAGAGTGTATGTCAATTATATATAATTTTAATCATATACTTTTTGCAGCAATGTTTCTCTCCTGACTGTGGGGTATACATTTACAAGTTTATTCGCTATGCAAGGGTTTGTAAGGCTTTTGGTTAAATGCAATAACACAATTATAATCTCAGATGGCATCAATGTAACTTGTCTGACGTAGATGTATTTTATTGTTACCTGGAATGATATATGGCGGTGTCACGTGTGCAACAGGATGTGATATTTTTTTTCAAAACATCTGCAATCAATTCATGTATACTATAAAGTCAATTGACTAGTAATGTATTTACTTTGTTTTGGCCTTTCAGATTGTTTTGTCGATTGTTGTTTGTCATTTAGCTTGTGTTTTTAGACTTGTAAAATCTATAGTTGTGTGTGTTATTTCCACTCAGTTGTATACACTGTTTCAATTTGTATATCTTATTATAAAACCCAGAAAATGTTGTCTGCCTGTGGCACTCACGATTCATGTAATCTTATCCTTGTTCTTGTTATTGTATTTCAGTGTTATGAGGAGTTCCTTCTGTGATAAGATGTAATTCATCTTTTATGACATTACATTCGATTCATTTTTTGCCCTCAATGTTTGTTTTAGGTCGCCTATACTTACAATATTAATTGCATGTCTGTCATTCGGCTGCTTTGTGTAGACTTGTTAGACATATAAGTTGATATGTTAAATGTGACAATAACTGTGATTCTGGGCATTTACAATAAATGCATTTTTTCTCAACATTTTCTAATGAAAATAACCAAATAATAAGGAATTACAACTTAATTCCATTGTGATATGTGTTTGTCACTCAGAGAATTGCATTACTTTGCTATGGAATTGCTAGTTCAATACAAGACATGTCGATACAAATGTTTAAGCTCAAAGTCTTCATAATTGTTTTAACAATACACGTCTTCCTTATTACAGTGGCAATACCTGTGAATTAAAACATTTTTGTTTAAATATAATTACATAAAGATGACCAAATCATACCGAAATATTGTTTTAGAAACAATTGCAAGGATACAAAAGTCTTAAGTAAAAACTGAAGGTCGAGCATTCGTCATATTTGTTGAGATCGGTCACATGATGGGAACCGTAGACAATTGTGACGCATGACACACGCTATTATGGCATTTGATACATACAATCACCAATGCGAGGCCGACACAGAGAGCATAAAGTTGGCGACGTATTTGAAATTTTGCTCAGAGTCCCCGGAAAGTTGCCATTCTGTACCATATTCCCTGAGAGTCGCTTGCAAAAACTGGATATCAATAGATGGCGCTCTCTGGATCATGGGCGCACTCTTAAAATCTCAAGTGTTTTAATATGCAACGTCGATATGTAGCATACATGCTAGTCTTCCAATGTCCATATGTCGACGATGGCCGTAACAAATTGTTACTAAGGACACATAAAATGATATATTCGAAATAAACATCAACAGCTATTGCTGCTTTAAGTTGTGTACCTCCTACAGAACAAGATAAGTCCTTCTTGAGGCGCATCCCAAATACATTTTGTGATATTCAGAATAATTATTACTGTATTTTATTTTATTTTAGTCTTAACAAACAGAGATCATTTTCACTGTGATTCCTCATTTTCAATCATTGTAATGTACACAATATTGTCTTGTGAAATCAAATGTTTATGATTTGTATTGTAATTAACACACATGTGACAACCTTACAAAATGAATCCATTAGAACAGCTATGTTACATGTGTTGTTGCTAACATTTGGGATGTAACCACAACATTTGTTAAATTCTTCAGTTTAAGTTGTATACCATTTTCTACTATGTGCACAGAACTCTCACCTCTCCTGCATATGTCAATATTGAAATCTGTGTGGCCTCAAAAAGTTTGGTTTTAAGTGATTTCAATATTGTCATGAGTATTAAAGAATGATGTTTGTGCTTTTGCTGCTCGTATTGCTTTCTATGTCTGAGTGGTAACAAGTGATTTTATTCTCCTGAACCATTGGTGTCGAATTTGACACAACAATTTTGGTTCATTTAGGTTCTGTTAATTTTTGTTCAGTTCAGTGATGTGTCTTGTCTTGGTGATTATAATTCTTGTTATGATGATCCCCATTCATTTACATAATAACGAATAGATATTTGTAGGTCATTTACATTTTCTGACATGATGATAATCTGCATATTGACTGTGGAGAAAAGTTGTTTTGGATGTTCAGCTCATCAATTAAATTTTTAATATAAAAGTTTAACCCTTAATTTGCATCTTTGTCTACCTCAATTTTCCATCTTGAATCTTTTTGGTATGTGTATGTAGTAAGATCATCTGATCAGTTCACTGTTCATCTTTGTTTTTCTATGGTTTACATTCAGGTTGTGACACGTACTGTTTGAGTCTGCTTCCTTTTTTTTGGTTTGCAAACTTTTCTTTTGCAATAAACATTCTATAAACAATGAACATAAACTGGCATACTTTCATACTGTCTTGGGAGTGGGCCATATAGCTGTGTAATCGTCCTCACTTCTAGCAGTCATCAATGTTACTATTGCATTCAAAGTAACATTACATTTCTAGATAGAAACCATCTTAGTTATGACCGCAGTGGGACATTTTTTAACACTGTTTAATTGGTGCAGTATATATAGGCAAGCTGAAAGAGGGGAATTGTTTTAACAGCGTGCTGGAATGTCACAAGAAAACATTTTTGAGCATTTATTTAGATGATGACCTGTTAATGTCATTGCCGTTACCATATATTCATGGGGCGATGATGGCGTTCGGACCTACCGATAATCCCAAAAATAATCACCGACATATTCAGGTGTTAAATGTTTGGAGGGTGTCAATTTTCCGTTTTCAACTGTGAAATTATTCGCCAATTGAGTTGATTACTTCGTGTATCTCAGGATTACTTGCATTGCGATTTTACGAAACGATAAAATTGGAAATTCAGTCAACCACCACCCTCTTAATATAATGTGTAATGGTCATGTTCAAGCCCATTAGTAAACAATAGAATGGGTGTCACATCTTCATGAGGGATTGTGACAATCACGACTGTGGGTTGACTGGAGGGTTTATTTAACTTTGATATTATTCTCAACGCCAATAACAACACAGATTCGGATGTCAGCGAGATGACTCCAGATGGGATTACTTTGAGTGAGTCTTATGTTGTTACTTCTCCATCTGAAGAGACTTTGTGTCTGAGTCACTGCGTGAATCCAGTTCCAACACCAAATAAAAAGATGTGTGCATGTTAACACTGCAATGCATAGCATTCAATCTAGGCATTACATAGTGTTTAATTTGCATATGAGTGGTACCTAACACTTATTCGCAGGTGCTTTGCAAAGCATGTTAGTTATCTGAATACAGCTTTGCCAAACTGTGATAACTTATTTAAACACGGTGAATGTTTACAATACTCGGTCACTCGGCTCAAAAATTGGCTGAGATTAATATTATAGCAATGGTTATTAGTTGTTTATCACCACTGTAGTAATCATTGGCTTTCTACTTTTTATTTTCTACTTTTTATTGCCTGCCCATGTTGTGCAAGGTGTTTTTGCTGTTGTCAGGTGAATTCCAGGTCATTTGATGATAATATCACAAGAGCACAAGCACATTGATGAAACGCTTACTTTGAGTACACCATTTGTAGATAAATCAACGACCTCGGTGCAAAACAAAGTTGATCTGATCATCTGGGATCTGATCCTGTGTGATTTCCTGTGGTATTGAAACTAAAGTATGCTAACTTACATTATTCCAATGTGTCTGGATAGTCAACATATAGTCGTGTCTTCCAGTGTATACGAAGTACATAATTTCTA